TGTGGTAAAATGTTTTCCGCCAAAATGTTGCATTTTGTTGCGTATGTGCTCAAACCAAAAAACCATCCCAAGTTACGCTAATATTTTTGCAGGTCACCATAATTTCATTTCCACTGAAGCAACCATACCTCTGGCGGATAAGGCTGGTGAAATTATTTCTCAGCATCTCTGAGACCTCGAGATGCCTAAATGGAACTCAAAACTTTGGACTGGTACCCTGAACTCAGTTGCCCGATTGCTTTAGTCCATCAGGGGCACATCACAGCTTACGAAAATGCGATTACATTGTGCAAATACTGAGTACCCGTGCATCTCGAAACCCATCTGACCAGTTTGAGCGGCGCACTGTTGGGAGACATCATGCCTGTTATGGTTAAGTAGAAAAACGTACCGGCAAATACGGTGAAGTTGGTGATCACGTCCGGTATAATTTGAAAGTTCACTGGAAAGATTAGGAAGAAGATGGGAAAACCGGTAAGTAACCTCACATTGCATTTGACAACTTTGGGGTAAGTAAAACGTTTTTGAAGAGTTAGCAGAATGATTTACTCGAGGAGTCATCAACATGAATGCATAAGTTTGTGGTACATACCTCTATATCTCGTACTTTTAATGACTGATACTTTTTTGTTTTCTAATATAACAGACTGTAACAGGCTTCCGGTGCCTAACTGCAATGCCACCCGGGGGAAGCACAGCGGCTGGGATACTGCCAGGTTGCCCAAGCCTAGAACAGGGGAAATCGAGAGGCAGATGTCACAGATCTTCCAGACAGTAAATTTGCGCTCTAACTACCTGAGCCATCTTGCCCTCTTTAAGTCGAATAGAGAATAGAAGATCACTCTTGGTGGAGTATTTCAGCTGGGCAAAAACGAAAAAAGAAGTGGTGCAACAATCCTCTTCCGTGTATCAATTAACATAACTGCTCTTGCCCATCAAGTGAAAAATTCAAAGTTCTACTTAATTTTGATGTATGACCTACAGAAAAGGATATGGTTACAGGCTATTCAACTTATTCTTAATTTGCAGCCCAAGCGTCATAGCTTATGACGCGCCACACATACCTTTTTGCAAAATCATTTGACCTCTATCACCTGTCAGTCCACTCCCCGACGGATACGCACCTGATTGAGACTTTTCCGTAAACCGCTTTGCTGTGTGACAGGCAGAGTTTTCTAGATCATTCAACTGAACACTCTTGAGGATAAATGGTCGAAAGGACTCTTCTGCAGCTTTCAGTGCAATTTCGGCTCCATCCAAACTGGTGCTCTTGCAGCGAACCAACAATTCGGACAGGGTCAGTGTGAGTGAAGAACGTTCCACATAACTTATGTGTGTTCCCGGTAAACCTCCACCACCAAAATGTCGACCATCTGTCGTGTTTAGGGCAATTGAGGTTGCGGCCCAATCTTTGTCATGATCAGTTGGTAATCCATAGGGTAAAAATATCCATTCGAGTTCCAGGAGTGCTAAACAGTGTTAAAAATAAAAAATTTGGACAATCATTCAATTCCATATGACCAACATGTATGACGTCAAAATAGGCATACGAAATCATTCTTTTCGAAAGAGTATTGTGTACCCTCGAACCGTCTCCTACTGATGAGTAAGGCAAAGAATGAAACAGCTGGATAAATTCCATCATTGAAACACAAACATGTTGTGGTTTCTCATCAGAAAAAATCGTACTATCTGCTAGATTGATAGGTGCATCATTACTGCGAACAAAACAACCAATTAAGAGAACTATTGAACAGCTGAATTTGAGATTGCATTGTCCACGTGCTAAGCACAGCGGGATACTGCCAGGTTGCCCAAGCCTAGAACAGGGGAAATCGAGAGGCAGATGTCACAGATCTTCCAGACAGTAAATTTGCGCTCTAACTACCTGAGCCATCTTGCCCTCTTTAAGTCGAATAGAGAATAGAAGATCACTCTTGGTGGAGTATTTCAGCTGGGCAAAAACGAAAAAAGAAGTGGTGCAACAATCCTCTTCCGTGTATCAATTAACATAACTGCTCTTGCCCATCAAGTGAAAAATTCAAAGTTCTACTTAATTTTGATGTATGACCTACAGAAAAGGATATGGTTACAGGCTATTCAACTTATTCTTAATTTGCAGCCCAAGCGTCATAGCTTATGACGCGCCACACATACCTTTTTGCAAAATCATTTGACCTCTATCACCTGTCAGTCCACTCCCCGACGGATACGCACCTGATTGAGACTTTTCCGTAAACCGCTTTGCTGTGTGACAGGCAGAGTTTTCTAGATCATTCAACTGAACACTCTTGAGGATAAATGGTCGAAAGGACTCTTCTGCAGCTTTCAGTGCAATTTCGGCTCCATCCAAACTGGTGCTCTTGCAGCGAACCAACAATTCGGACAGGGTCAGTGTGAGTGAAGAACGTTCCACATAACTTATGTGTGTTCCCGGTAAACCTCCACCACCAAAATGTCGACCATCTGTCGTGTTTAGGGCAATTGAGGTTGCGGCCCAATCTTTGTCATGATCAGTTGGTAATCCATAGGGTAAAAATATCCATTCGAGTTCCAGGAGTGCTAAACAGTGTTAAAAATAAAAAATTTGGACAATCATTCAATTCCATATGACCAACATGTATGACGTCAAAATAGGCATACGAAATCATTCTTTTCGAAAGAGTATTGTGTACCCTCGAACCGTCTCCTACTGATGAGTAAGGCAAAGAATGAAACAGCTGGATAAATTCCATCATTGAAACACAAACATGTTGTGGTTTCTCATCAGAAAAAATCGTACTATCTGCTAGATTGATAGGTGCATCATTACTGCGAACAAAACAACCAATTAAGAGAACTATTGAACAGCTGAATTTGAGATTGCATTGTCCACGTGCTATCTGGTTTTTCTCAGGGAACCAAGTTATTTCAGGTAACATATTCGCTCGATTGGTGGTGCGTTTAACAGCAATATGCGTTTTTGATACCCGCACAAGAGCGCTGTCAGAAATCGGCATTTGGTGAAGCGAGAATAACTCGGCAGCTTTACTGTCAAACTTTTAGAGCCGAAAACTGACCATGATATTTATAGAGACCATTTGACGTCCAACAAAAATACCAGATCTGTAGCTCCACATCGAAGGCTGACAGGTCGATTTAGTCTTTTTCTGGTACCAATTCCAAGGTGCTAAATATCAATAGGACCAATACTTAGCAATCCAAATAAGCTCCGGGCGATGGTGCGCAGTGAATCCAAGTACGGTGCACGTGCAATGCTGCCTTCAGATATGCACGTAAAGAGAGTTTACCGCACATCAATGCTAATGTCATTAGCAATGGTTGCAAGAATTTTCTCACCGATATTCATTGATCGCATTAAAACCAGTTGAAATTTGTCGGTACTTGGTACCAAACGGCTAGCCTTTGGCGAGACACTAGCTGTTTTATCCCACCAGCTACTCGATATACGAGTGTAACGTCTCCATAGTTGCTCCATAAGTTTCCATAATTGTGACTGTATAGTTGCAAACAGGAGATGGTATCGAGGTGGTTGCAGCTCTTATCGCCACTTAAACTCTCCTCTTAAACTGATTTAAATACATTTCCGCACTGTTTTCATGACCACAACGTGTAAGAGCATGTGTTAAAACCTTATGAGACTATTACACTCCTGTTATTTTTACATCATTGAACTCCCACCCGGCATGCGTATTACATGGATTATTTTTCAAACGTGATGTATACCCCCAAACTTTTACTCATAACTTGTAAACTCTCTTGTATGCAGAAAATTCAGCTCCAACTTCTGAACGTTTTCCTCCATTTTGGTGAGCTCACAATTATGATGAGTAACAATTAGGTATATGATATTCTGGTTTTAAAGTAAACAAAATAACAGTGTCATGTCTTTAACTACTAGGGTTCTGTTACCTGATTCATCGCTGTTACTCCTAGTGACTAAATGCACACAGATCAGTCAGAGACCCAATCACACTAGTTTGGACAAACTTGAAGACACTATTTATTAGGTTGGTACTTTGCATTTGTCTGTTTCCTTGTTTCGTACCACGTTAGCATCAACATGAAAGTTATCCAAACCATTACTGGTCTCACACGGTTGACAGATAAATGTACTCCTTTTGTATGGAGTAGTTGTCTGCAAATTCGATAGAGTATTCGAAGTGGAAGTGGTTTAATGTTCATTAGAAATCGGTGAAAGTATTTGAAACTAAGTACGATTTCAGTTATTCTGCAAACTGATCCCATATGGCAGCACCCCGCCACCCTAACTATGGGGTATATTCAAGACCCAGGTGTACACTGTAAATCATATTTTATTCAAAACAATGGTTTCGGCATTGAGTGACTGTTCAAGCAACAGCTTCAAGCACAATGAATAAAGATAAATCATATATCTGAACACTAACGATCCAATCCTAACCAGTCCAAGTTGCTCACATGTGATTTTGTCTGTCAGGTGGCCAGCATGACGTCACATCAAGATTTTTCTGTCATCCAAACAATCGTATCTTACCTCAGTATTTCCGGCATTAGTGTCTTTATTTTGTCCTGCCCAGCATTGAAAAATGCAACAACACTATTTAGATTCAGTAAACATGCACCATGGTGTCAAAAGTATCATTCATAGAAGACGTTTCATCTTCAACAGAGCCCCTAAGTTTGTTATCGATACCTTTTTGGGATAAAACTTGACTGGCTACGAGTATTTTGCAAATAGGAAAAACTCAACACAATGCGAGACTAACAAAGACCAAGGAGCTAGTCTATAGGAGCTTAAATATCATAAGAATACCAAACCATGAGTTATTTTAAAAGCGGTCGGTATTCATAAACCAGAAATTAGCCGAAAGGCTTGTGTGATGTGGACTACCCTGAAATACCTGATATCTAATAGGAAGAGATAATGAGCACACATGTTTTGCCCCTGATGTGCTGTAACAAAGGTCTAGCTGCCAATGTAATTAAAAAAAAGAAAAGTATCGGGATAAAGACTTACCAGGAGCTGAGTCATTTACAGAAGTGAAAAATTGTAGAATCTGCAAACAATGTAAAGAAGATGTATACAGTAGAGCGAGGTTTTGGGCAATGTTTCGTGGCACAATTTTGGTAAGCTTGTCAGAGATTCTTTGTATTGCCTCATTTGCGTTTGAACAATTTTCCTCCTGATCTGGAACCTTTACTTGCAAGTCCAGATCAAATAAACGAAGGCCCTTCATTTGAATTTGGATCTTTTTAGGACCTGTGAGCATTGCCTATTCTTGATCATGCCGAGATCTGATCCCTAGACACGTTAAAGTCAGGGAAGCGTGCTACCATTACCTCATCAACGCACACTGAGTCATCACCCTGAATAGGTGACCGTGTTTACACCATGCGACTGGATTGTCTAACACACGGCGAGAAGGCGTGTGATCTGGGTGTGCCCGTCAACTGATTCATCTGCCAGGATTTCCCACAGGGCAGTCCGATGGACGCTTGAAACCTGTTGGACAATTTCGATTGATTCTAGATGGTTGCCTTTTTGTAGATTTGCTAGCTTGTTCGTGTCCGTGGCCTATGCAATCCAGGATGTGTTCTTCTCGAAAAAAGCTAAAGTTACCCTTCTTCGTTGCTCTATATTCACAGATAGGAATACTCCAATTACTGGTTTAACTCTAAAACTCTGCGGATTATTGTTACACATTCAATAAAGTCATCCTCGCATTGGAACATTTCTGGTGTTTTAAAATGCCTTTTGCATTGCTTTACACTAAAAAATAAACAATATCAATTTTCCGCCTGAAGTTTAACCGAAATGTTGTAACAAAATTCCCAAGCAGTCCCCATCTGAATACAAAAGATAGTAATCAGCGGATACTGTGCACTGCAGATTTCCAGGTGAAAGTTTTCCTACATTTGATCTGGAAATCGTATCACTAGTCTTGTTATCCACATCAAGATATCAGACCGTTCTCGCACGGCATCATAGGTCATGACACTACACCACTAAACGGACATGCATATATTGAATAAGAGCTTGGGCTAACCTTAGTAGCATATGCTTGCTTAAAAACATTGAAAACAGCAACTGTTTGTGATGTACGTTTAAAGTGATCAGCAGGAAAAAAATGTGACAAAGTATCATTTGATAGCCTGCAATCCGCTAACAAACGCGGGCTGCTTGATATTTACTTGAATTCGGTTGATCGATTTTGGGTTGATTATTTCGGAGGACACTGATAAATGTACGATGGTGATGAATCCTGCTGTGATTTATATCAACAACTGTCAAATAAAAAGAATAATTTCCGGTTGACAGAAAACTGTGGCACTCCAAAAGCTGGACACTCATGCTCTGGATTGTTGGCGGCTGAAATATTTATGTTCGCTTGAGCAAATCTCATAGCATCTGTGGGCACAATCAATGCCCCGGGTTAGTTGTTTTGATCGGTAACTCTGGAGAAAATTTGGTATTTTGACCAAAGCAATGATCAGCGTGAAATAACCGAACGTGTGCAAATTCTGTTCATATTTACAAATAGTTGTTCCGAATTGTTGGAGATTCAACTTTCATCTAAGAACTAGATTTCCAAACGATTGTTTTTTATCGCGCCGCATTGGGCACGCAGAGCGATTAAGTGAAAATTTAGGTATAGAAACAAGAACACAATTCACACAGTGGTGGGAGTTTGGCTTGTGGGTAAAAATGATGTTAAACTTTTGGGTTTATTTTGACAAAAGGAGGCCTAGCTGGCCAAAAAGATAGCTTCAATAGTTTTGTTATTTTTCTGTCTGGTGCTCTCGTGCCAAAATTCGGTGCTCGAGAGATTGCGCCGAATCATTTCGGCAGAATAAGCCGGAGCAATATGGTGGTCTGTAGCGTACATGTGAATGGCGATTGCGACTGCCCGTTTTCGGCTAACAATATTTTCAGCAAACCCGTAAAACCATTGTGAGTTTTTGACGCAAACGCTGCTTTATTCGACTTACAGAGTTGGCGGTAATAAAATCAATTAATTTTGTGCCTGATCCCTAGGGATGGAGTATAATTGTTCCTAAACATTACTCTTCTGGACGTCACTCAGAAAGCAGTTCGCTTACAAATGCCACAGGGCTTTAATCCAAGACAGCTTTTATTGGAATCTAGTTTCCTGGATGTATATGGATTTTTAACATTCGCTTGACGACACTGAGCTGGAAAGTTAACAATTTTTTCTTCTTCGAACCCATAACACTTTTTGGTCAGATCTGGGTTGGCGCAGCAATATCACACTTACTCAGCACCGCTACTCCACCAACGAGCAGGATAACTTGGTTGTACAAAATACACAGCTCAATGATGCAACACCCAACGTCACAGTGCTACATAAGTGGTCTTCATTAGTTTCCAAGCATTAACCATTACAAACCGATATTTCACTGAAGCAACCCGATCGAGTATTGAACTAAAATTCCAATCCACAGCATGCAGAACGGGGTAAAGACACTCATGACGGATATTTCATCTATGCTACCGTCACATATACGTTGTCTAGTGAATGGTGACGGACGCGATCGTATGTCAGAGTTATGCAATTAAACCACAGAAATATTACTTGCCCAACGTTCTGACCGCATGAGCTACATAATGACGCTGGATTTCTGTCTCTATAATGACATGGTTTCAAGGGCTGGATAAAGTGCATCTGAAGACTCTGAAAACGTACGGAAATAACTTTTGTTTCAACGTGACCACATCTTTGTTTGTAAGGGATCTGTTATGTGGTTCTTTGCAACATATTCTAGTGCATGTCAACTTTCAGCTACTAGGAAAATGTGCAACGACCACATGCGGTCAACTGGCGCAGTTGTACAAAAGTTGAATTCTCTAATTGTCGGGGTTCTTTCGTAAGCTACGAACAGTTCTGCAAGGAATTGAAAGATTGTCTCCCTTAGCAGTCTCTCGGAGATACTTTTTGTCATTGCTTTCTGTATGACGGACTAGCTGGCTACCTTACCGGAAGTAAAACGTGTAAAATTAACGGCTGCAGTGAATATATAAATAAAAGCGATTTTTTGTTTTATTCAAAAGTATTCCGGTGGTGGTAACCGCGGAATGGCGTGCAACTTGACCCCAAGGATTACTGTTCATAACACTATTTTGAACTTTTTAAAACTGCTAAACTTTTTGATCCGGTTATCAGCTGTCCAGCCTAATTCCAGTTACATATTTCTGGCAAGACTATGTTAAGTATGGGTGGAGATAACTCAAAGCTAGACTGTTGCTTATTGATATCACAGTACATTTGCTTGACGCAGTGCTGCCCATAAGGTTGCAGGGAAGTATTCGAGACCACGTTATTCTTGGAGCTCATCAAGTTCGTGGTGTTCCCAGATTTCCGTTAAGCTAATCTTTTATTTCATTCCAAAGTTCCGAGGCTACGCGTGTTTGCAGATGATTTGGTTTGGACGGGAGATTCAACAAAAGCATAGCGATGTCACCAGTTTATGTTACCATTCAAGTGAATGGGTTGCACGATGGCCGCGTCTCTTTTGCTTGGTACGTCACTGGAGATATTGCAGTATGTCTTCATGACAGAACCCTGTTCCGGAACTGCCCTCTACCTTAGGTAATCGAGAAGGCGAAAAACAGATCGCGGACTATCGGACTCTTCCCAGAAACATTATGAACTGTGTTTAGTCTGAGAAAATAAAATATAGCTCGTTGCTAAGACGAAGGATTGTTTCTTCACAGTAGTAAGTTACCACATGACGCGATAATTTGTAGATTACAGTAAGCCAGAACTTGACATACGTATTAATGCGAACGCCACATTGGGAACACGACAGCCGAATTCACTGCCATTGTTTCATTTCCTTTTCGCATCGCCTGACCATTCCACAGAAGGCTGCTTTTTAAACTAACCATAATTTCAAGAAATCGAGTCTCCAGGGCATTCGCAAGATGCCCTAAAAATCATTATCATGCAGACAACATTGAAGTGGACTAACGAATTGAACGCGGGAAGTCCGGACATCGTGTCTAATGCACGCGCAGAGTCTGGCTACGAATGTCATGCTGATGATTTTTTGAATTGGTTAAATATTGCTGCATCCAGTTGAACAAAATACCTGCATTTTTATAAATCTTACCAACGAATAGCTAAGGAACACCCGGTTTACGATATACTCTGGACGCGTTTGGTTGTGATAATCGGGTTTCGACCATCCTCCTCAACATGAAAAATACCAAGCAGTTATACGATATTGTGGCTTGAAGCCATAACTTGACTTAGTCAACTTTCTCCCATCCTTTTTTTCAAGAGATAGAAGTTAACCAGTCTAGAGCAATTGGATCAACAGTCCCATTCAAGGAACTGGGTATAGATTGCACTTTTCATCAAGTAAGGAAATGTGTCAAGGCGGTTCTTAGCATGCATATTAGGTCGCACTGTGCTGACTGAGCATTTCCACCCGATCGTAAGCACCATAGGTCGGGCGCAGAATACATTGCTAATCCCGTTCAATCCCGAAGATGCCTGGCTTTTGTAGATCAAAAATTACTCCTGTACATTTGATAACATAGCTACATTTCAACATGTAAAACATTTAAGGTAGATACACACAGCCCAGCAAGCTAAATATGCACCTGGTTGTGTGCTGCACAGTAGTGTACGTTGGTTCCCTTGCATATAGGAAAGGAGCAGCACAATCCAACACTTTACTCAGCCGGATTCCTCATTCCTCAGCAGGTCCGGTGTTGTCTGTCAAAGCCAGGTGGTTCTTGTTTCCCGTTCAAGATGCTGGATGATACTTAACTGAATACAAAGCATCCAGAGTGGATTTCTCCCGGTTCACGAAAAGTATCTCCACGCCCATGCAAATAGCACGCCTTTGCAAAGTTTTTTCATTACTATTTTACTTAAATAGCTATAAATGGGATGTCCTAGCCATCAATTAAATGCGAGAAAAAATGTATGTCACGTGAAAGTAGAATGAGCAGCGCTTTATCCCTTAAAAGTGCGAGTCACACATACTGCTCACCAGCCAGTCTAGGCCGAATAGCTTGCTGGCTCAAACCTTGTTGGAGTTTCGTGAGACGCGCGATTCTTGTAATTCCCAATAAATCTGAAACAGCTGGACAGTGCTCTTCGGCTTTCCGGCATGAAACGATTTCAATCACAGAAAGAAATCGCAATTGAAAAGATGCAGCTGTCATACTGGAAGGCTAATTCCTCAAGTGAATCAATTGATATTACCTTCCATAGGAGCTCTAAGGGAATCCTATGTTGAAAATATCTAGATTTGCTTAGGTCGTCGCTTTCTGGATTTGCTAAATGATGGAGGCCACATACTCGTAGAAATTACCAATAGCATACATTTAAGCTGGATTGAGAGGGGACCAAATGGTAAATGTTACACTAGGATGGAAGCATATTGGCACCGCAGCTTGCATCATGCTACTTGTTTGCAAGTTATCCACCTATTACTCTTCCAAATAAGTATTTATCCTTTGATAAAGTCGTTGAGTCATGTATTCACGTTCCTTATCAGCTTTCAAGGCAACATTGGCATCTCATAACACACGCCGCCCCAAATAATCAGTGAAATCATTGTGAAAATGATGAAAAAGTTGGAGCTATGTGCGGCCTATCTCTTGAATACTAGTGATTCTTTTATGATGAGGTTTCCAAAATTTCTCACTTCAACAACCACATATTTAGACCAACAAGGCCACACACATTGAACATCTAACCATGCATCTAGGTACACTTTAAGTGTTGATAATCTTATCACTTGGGAAACGTACCCATTCGTACCCAATGAGAATTGGTTCAAAACACACGGTTATACAAGGAAGTTTCAAACTCTCAGTAACTTACGTCGTAAATGAACAAACTGCTAGCACTAACTTCCGGATTAACTCGTACCCTGAGCGCATGTGCCAGACTGGCATTGATTCGTGTGAGCTCTTGCAATTGATAGGTTTTCAGCTGGTTGGGCCATTGTAATAGTAGACGCAACGTTGACCGAGTGATTAGTCGTTGAGGTGGTGGAACTTTAGCTGACAGTCTAAATTCGATTTCCACGCTCTGAGCGATCTCCTTGTTACTCGCGTGGAAGCTTTATAAAAAAAAGTGATAAATGCGTCAGTGGGACGTGTTTGCGTGTCAGGCAATTCATTTTAATTGTACCGTGCAAAAAGATATGGTAGCGGACAAGTCATGCATATTGGGTTAGGTGTGAAGTCGAAATAGTATCGTTGATCAAACCGCAAAAATTTATCAGGAGACGTTAAATGTAGCTTTCAGGTAAACTGAAAAATTACTGATAGAGTCGGGATGTTCACAACTACGGAAATCTAGAAAGGTGGCCTCTCGTTCTTGGTAAGTTTTGGACTTAGTTTGAATGCTCAGTAGCTCGAATGCGCTGACCGTGATCTGAATGACTATTTCTTAAGTCTACTTATTCCTGATTGCCTGGTTCAAACACAATTCTTTCACTGAACACCAGCGTCTATTCGGCCTTCATTCAACTATGCTAACCGTGGAAATATCGGAAACACTTGCTCACTGGCGGGCTGGAATTCACCATCTGTGAGCGAAACAAACTGGAGAAATATCCTTAACGCGTTTAGAAATCAAGTTTATTCAGATAAAGTGACTAATTTCTCTCGGATTCTAGGGCTGGGTGTATAGTCATACTGCTTACTCCAGTTAAATAGCATGTATAATCTGATTACAATGCTTTGCTATCAATGGATTGGCGTGTATACATAAAATATGAGGATTTTAGTCCACTGACTTTATAGAACAACAATATCTGTGTGTTGTGTGATCAAATGTAATGAACTTATCTAATGCAGAGGGTCACCGAATTCCTCCTAAGTATCATGGGAAATTATATTTTATGGGGAGTGAATAATGGTCAGTCAGAATGGAAACTTACAATAGTGTAGTCGTTTTCTCAACTCTGAGGACGGTTATCACACATACTTCGGCCAACTGCGCATTCCAGGAAAAGGGTGAATCTCCTGTAAACAATTCGGAAAACGTGCGTAGTAATCTTCTTAGTGTGCTACTCACGAGATTGCTGAAAATTCGTCGAGATCCGACTGAGAACATCACAAACGAGAGATTCATCTGGGTTCCCGGTGAGTCTCTCGAAAAAACAAATTTGTTTGCAAATGGGTGTATATCTCGAAAAACAAATTTGTTTGCAAATGGGTGTATATTCGGTAATGCGCGGTAGTTTTCTTTCCTGTACTTTACACAATCTTAGGAAACCAACACAGCAGTAGTAGCAAAGATGGATGTAAGTGCAAAGGGACCTGATAAGAGGCCTTTATGTGAACCCCGTAGATTTAATCGACAATAATGGGTTAATGTATTCAACAAATCGTCGTATAGTGTTGACCTAGTTTCGTTTTTCTCTCAGAAACTCACGCACTTCCACACTTAAGAACAAACATTGCAAACTGCCGAATTAAATAGTCTCTGATAAGCTTCAACTAAGTTGTAGTCGGACTGCGCAACTAATGTTTAAGCACCAATAATTTTGTATTTATGATCACAATTGTGAATTGAACATGGGCAATTAAAAAATCAGGCAAAGTTTTGGACCATACAAGTACGTGATGTAATTCGTGAATGCACTTTTCTGGGTGTGCTATGATTAGTTAATTCTCTTTGGAAAAGAACGAGACTTGAGTTCAACAATGGTAACCATCGCACATCGTATGGAGAATTTCGGTTATGACTCGCGATTCCGACTGTATCGGAGCACAATGAATAAACGGGAACTAATGTGCCTCAACATTAACCTGGTGAACATTCGAGGTGAAGGAGCTTTGCTCTAAAACGCACGACGTGTCGACGTTGAAAATTGCCGGAGGGCTTTACATGTCCAGGAGACTGCACTATCGGTGGGAGGGACTACAGTGAACCCTAATCATACTTCGCAGGTGGTACGAGATTGGAGCTCCACGCAAAATTTACTGTAGAGCTCGTGATAGTGGGACCGGCCAGGATCGCACTGTTAGAGTAATTACATCAGTTGAAACCTTCAACTTTTTAGTTTTTCAAATTCAGTCATATCCTTTATGTGTATAGGCAGAAGAAACCGTCAAATTTGTTATAGTACATTCAATGGTTAGTTGCATGTTTTTGATGACAATTTCCTTGTGTACTGAAAAATGCCTCTGAAAATTTTCCAACCGGCCTCCACTTACACTGTACTGTTTTCTGCACTGCAATTTTTATCGCATCCTGGCATATAGACCCCACCAAAGTATCAACGGGTTTTACGGGCTACTTTCAAAAGTCAGTCGGCTATAGAGACCTCTGAATTTAATTACTGGTGCTTGGGACTCCAGCGCCGTGCTGCGGAACCGTTCGTTCTTTTTTGATAATGCTATACACGTGGGGTTTACTGATGCTATGCTTGTTGGCTTCGGAATCTGTTACTTCCTCGTCAACATTTTAGCCGGAAGGGAATCAATTTCGTTTTACTTGAGTTACTGCAGTGACTAGACCGATATCAGAAGTCTCAATATAAACGCTCTGAAGTGTAACGTTTGAAATCCTGAAATTTAGCGGAAGACTGTCCAGTGGTGTTGTTAGGAATAAAGATGCCATTATGGTTCTCACTTCAAAGTGCTAGGGTGGCAGTATCATAAAAATTAGATCAGTCAAATGGGGTTAATCCGAAGTGAGTGGTGCCGTTTTATTGCGGCGTTGGACTGAATCCTCTGGTTTACATCAAGTTTAGGTATTAGACGGTATGGACGTACATGCTTGGCAGCCAAAGGCGTATCCGCTACCATCAATCGCACTTCCATTACATAGCAGTCAGATTAAGCAACCTTGCTTCACCATGTTAACACATGGACCGTAAATACACGTACATCAAGTAAAGCGAGACAAACTGTCAAATGATGCATATTCTATAAGATGGGAATAATATCGACGCAAAGTATATCGGAGTAAAGAGGTTTCGCCTTTCGCTTTTAAGCGTAATATTTGATGTGCTGTATCTGGAAGGCAAAGCACCATGGCTCACAACTTAGATTCAGTACATCACAAAGTAATTTTAAATTTGGAGTAACTTGACTGTCCCTCAGGTGGCCGTTGAAAAAAGCAGATAAACACTCATCAACTCTAAGTCTTGCAGTTAAAATCCGGTGTCTCATAATATAGAATCGGAGGATGGAAAATGGGTTTTCCGTAATAAATGTTGACTGTAGTTTTGATCCTTTGAAAACTGGGTGATGATGCAACCAGATAGCGCAACTTGCCCCTTTACAATCTGTGTTGGATAGGCGCAATTTATGACGCTTGATCAGTATAATCAACCATTCCAACTTCATTCACTATTATTCACGTTTGGGCGGAAATCCGTGCGGAATCAACAAATTCAATTGTCCTTCAGCTCTGAGAGATTTATCGTGTGAGGCGAACACAAAACCTCACTGCTTATTTGTTGAGCAATCCAGTTTATGGACTCGCCATGATTTTGGTGGCGGTTCAACCTCATTTGTGTGAGAACGCCCACGTTGCGCTCAAGCTGTGACACACCTGCCGCGGTGAACTGGCGGAAAACCCTAGGAACCAACTGTCTCAGTGTTAAAAACATCGTAAATTTGTGGCGCCAGATGATGTTTGTGCAAACATAACTCATAAAACAAAGGGTTACAATAGGTGATTATTTGGATTTGTGTACGTCTAGAAACTTACCGTTCACGGTCAGTTCAAGTGCGTCAAATGAAGTGACTTTGAGCTCCTCAAACCAGTAAATCGGAACATGATAGCACCAATGGATACCTGAAGCAGGGAACATTTGCTATTTTTGGAATAAACAGGATAGGCGGCTTATTCTAAACTTTTATATCCGTGTATATACTAGCACACAGTAAGATCTAATCTCATTTGCATGACCGAGCTCACTAATGCTTGTCCTTTTAATACAGATGAGCTTTTATTTCAATCTGGAGTCTATGACAGTGTGGCGAAAATCCAGGTTTCTTGTAACAGCTGGTATACCACTGGCTGCAAATGTATTTGACTTAGCACTCTCCACATATGGTAGTATTCCGTAAAAACTGCGTCCACTTAAACTTTCGAATTACACGATTACTTCTGCGTTCCCAATTAAACAACTGAAGTTAAGGTTCCAATTACAACAATAGATGTTGTTGTTTATTTTCGGTAATGCATAGACAAGACAAATGCATGCGTTCTTCACAGGAAGCCTCCATGTGATTGCGGAAATGTGCTGATATGGGTTGAGTGCCATCTTTGTGTGAACAGTGTATGTGTTCTGACAAACATACTAGTCTTCCCACCATTTCCGTTTTCATGGTAGGTTCACCTGAATCCCGGATGAATCCCCAGTTTGTGATACTCCTCTCTAACTAAATTTTTGAAGCAAACCGCTCCATGTTGTAACACACCGTATAAACCAAACACACTACTCATAATGTTACTGAGAAGTTTCAGATATCGCGCGACTGGTTTCGGGTCTCTTGGGGCTCATCAGGTAGGATGAGTCCCGAATTTTCAGAAATCTTATGTTCTACTGAACTAAATTGGTATCTAATTAGGTGTTTTTTCGGATTTCGTGCAATTTGGGTTCAGGTGGAACACAAGTTTGACAGCAACTCGGGGACTCAGCCTACTTGATGAGTCATAAATAGGGAGAAATTCTCATTGCCTGCTGAAGGGTTTTCATCAGCCTTGTGAGTACTGTTTAACTTCTACACAATATATGTGTTTGTCCAACTTTCTCGACATCTGCCAGTTGCTCCTCACTGGAAGATAACCTCATCTATCGTGTTAAAATCCATCAGGTGTTCATAGGCGGCAACCACATTGGGGTCGCTCTTGGTCCTCATATTTCCTCTACTGGTAGGTTGTGTATTCAGCAGTATACCAGTCAGCCAAAAAAAAATTCAGTATCGGATTAACATAGATGCGTATGTTGAGAATACCGAATCATAACTTTTGGATGAGTTTTGGAGTTTGTAGCAAAGATGGCCCTGCTTTATTATTATAACGCTAAGGAAAGGATGAACAGTTATGTTTCATTAGTATCTAAGTGGATTGTTGAAGCAGAACATCCTCTATTTTTCTATATTTAAGGTTCATGAACATGCATCACACTGGAAGCAAACTTGGCGTTAGACCGGGACTCCTGCATCAATTAATAATCCAAGTGATTTATAGGTTGACCTACGAAGGACGTTAATTTCGTGATGCAATTTATCACACCTCTTCTCAGACGATTGCCAACTGACATATGTCAGTGGACTGTTGCTTGAATTGCGCTAGTTGTCAAACGTTGAAAATTTCCAGGCACAAACCTGAGTTGGCGTGAGTATGTAGGAAGCAGAACGATATGTGATAAACCCTACAGTTCGAAATACAGTTTTCCAAACTTTAAGGATTTCAGACCATGAGTATATCTTCGTCATTCACGCCATGTGCACTCAAATTCTGCATTTCAGCAGTGATTGCGCACTTTTTGACCTATGGTTGCATACAGCGATCCTACTCGTCGTCTATAGTTGTAAATCAGACGTTTAGGTAAACATTTGGTAGCACTCCATTTCATAGAACTACTTAATTGACAGGACCAAACTATTGACCAAGAGTAGGATATAAAAAGAATGTCACGCAATCACAGTTTGATTGGAGAAATTGCAGTGTAGCCGAAAGTGTTACACTACCATCTGATACCCGTTGCTGTACTGTGCCATATGTAAGTTTGGCAACAATGTTTGAATACAGGACAGGTGCAATAGGGAGCAACTGCTTGATATTTCCGAGGTCTCAGACTTTACCGACAGCTTAAATATAACTTTTATCGGCCGATTACGTTAATAAAAAAGCAAAATGTTATAGAGAGCAACAATCGCGTGAGACGATAAATTTTGGTCGGCCACTTTTGTTTGTGAAGCTTACAGGTGAATTTTAATATAATAAAGAAGAACAGAAATTGTCTGGAATTTCTAAGTTCACGAATTGCTGGACGGGG